GTGTGTTACAGGGTGAATGCCATGTGCACTTTGAAAATGACACAGTTCTGATCGTATATATAATTATTTTTTTTCTAAAAAAAATAATAAATAAAGCATACTCTGAAGCGTTCGGAGATGATGCTGAATAAAGGTACTTTTCTGGTTGTATTAGAATTGCATGAATTCTTCAGCTATAGGTAGTTTAACTGTACAAGAATGGACTGTTTCTTACTATATGGTCCCCTTCAACCAAAATGGTTTGATCCATAACGTGTTATGTCATTTTACTAACAGTATAATAGCATTTTAAAGTACTGTGACGGAGATGACAACAATTCAGGGACAAACTTTTTTAGTCTAAAAAAGTCAAATTTTAAGTATTTATAATACTATTGATGTCATTTTTAATTTTACATTTGTAAGACGTCTATTGTATTCACCTTTTTGTGGTATAGTTATTTATTTAAGTTATTTATTTTAAAAATTATGACATTAGGAATTTTTAAGAAACCCAATCGGGACATGCATAGTGCGCGACTTTGGAGGCTTTTTGTTGAAAAATAAAAAGCATGTCGATTACATTTAAACTATTTAACAACTTATTCCATTAACAAATATGTTCAAGATTGCATTAATGCAATAAAAAAAAAAATTTCCTTTAATATTTTAAAATTTATACTACATTAAAACAGAGGGACTGGAAAATGGCACATTAGCGAAGAATGACCCAAACATTTTACGATGTTGAGAAATCTGACAGTAGAAAGACACCATGTTATTGCAGTTTATCATAAAGCACAGGCTGCATGCGTTGATAACATGTTTCTAAAATTTAACTGTAATTCGTATTAAGATACAAAATACAGTAGTTTCATCATGATTTAAAATGTTATATGAATAAACTGTTATAAAACAATGTGATTTTTATTTTGATTCTTTAATTCCATAGGCCTAAATTTCACTTGATTTATACATTATTATTTGAGAGCAAAACAGGCCGAGGTCACGCAAGATAGCCATTTATATAGCCATATTGTAGAATTTTACCTTTCACAATCCCCTGGCCCCAGCATTTGGTTCCTCGCTTCGATCAGAGCACTTGTCCCCCACATAATATCACAAACCCACACTAGCCCCCACCTACAGAAATATTCTGGCTACGCCACTGGTCAAATGTCTTGTTGACAATGAGCCAAGTGTGTACCAGTGCACAGTAACCATAGAGGATCAACAGGTTAACTACATCGGCCTAGATTACACAACAAAAATAAGGTAAAGTTTACGTCCGTTCGTGGAATACTTTTTGAGATACACATCTACATGCAGTATCACTGATAACGTACGCCCACAAGATCGAAAACCAGTAAAGGGATTGATAACATATTCGATGATTAACGTAGTTATGAAAATTTAAATATTTTATAGGCTCATACTTTATTTTTTGACAATGAGTTTACTGTCTCCTCTTCTATTGGCTGCTATGTAGCCTCCTTTTAGCACGCTAACAGTTACCCTACTTGTATACATGCTGCTTTTAATCCACACCGATTGCACTAACTAATAACAGAATATAACGACACACAGAATGAAGCCAATAGACCTATGTTTGTTTAATAATACAATTTATTTAACATAATTAGCATAAATTTATTATTTTATATATTTATTTATTTTAACATAAATTTTATATCACATTACTTTATATGCAATCACTAAAAAACAAATATATACTAGTTAATAATACGGTATGTCAAAATAAATCTGAAATGATTGTGAACTCGATTTTCAATGTCATTATAACCACATGGGGCAACTAAATACATAAGGATAATAATAATATAAAGAAATACATACAAATACACAGGTTTCATACAAAGGTATCAAAAGCCCATATAACAATACTGTCTTAATTTATCATTATTTTATTGCAAAACATTAAAATTACTTATTCTTATTTAAGTCCGGTTGGAACAAACGAATTTAACTTCTGTTTTGCCCTACACATGATTTTTGTATAGGAGATCATGTGGTAATATTTTAAACATAGGGCATGTTCTGTGGTGTTTTTTTGTTTGTTTTTGTTTTTGTTTTTTTTATTTACATTCGGCTAAATTGTGTTTGTCACAAAAGGATGTTAGACTGAGCAATGGACACAAAAATCTCTGTAAACTAATAAACATACATTGCTAAGCTCTAGTATATGAATGAAAATTTCCTACAAGGAAAGAGTCTCAAATTCGATTTGAAGCGTCAAGAATGCCAAAATTCCAGTATTGTCAGCAGAAGAAAGGAGGACAAACCATAATTATTATTGGATTGTGTCCAATTACAAAGCTGGGCTGTTTTTTTTTAATTTGTTATTGAATAGCTTACCTAATAGTATACTGTATGATAGTAGGTAAAAACATTATAAACCTAGTTGCAATACGAAACTTTCATACTGACATGTAGGTAGGATCTGCAGGGGGAGATGTCTCTGACGCATCTGGCCCTTTCGTAAACCCACCATGCCACCCCTCAACCGCCGTGTTCAAAATTATGTAGTTTCTACGCATGCGCTGAATTTGCGCCGTCCTAAACGCGATCAAGTTTGTGAAAAAAAGAACGTAATCGTAATCATAATGAGTGGTTTTCGATTTTGACGAACTTTTAAAGAGTTCCATAAAATATGCGAAAACCGATATTGTCGTGATATTTATTTTACAACAGAAAACACAAAAGAAATATTGAAGAACTTCAAACTACGACTGTTGGGCCACTAATAATAATATTAGCTATATTGGACATAAGTTGAGCTAGCCTACCCAGGTAGGCTATAGACTACAGGGACCATGCAGCTCTTGCTAGGGCCTAGTCTAAGTCAAGCTAGTACACTAGAGACCTAGCCTAGTAATTGGCTAGGCCTAGCTAGACCTTATAAAACGGTATCTGATTTTTCGGCTGCCAGCGTCCCCGACCGGGTGGTATTAAAACTTTAAAAAATAAATAAAAAAGGCTTAGGCTAGCATAGCAACTTTTGTGGTCATAGGTCCTGTTACAATTAAAGTAAGATGCCTAGGCTGCCTTATGTAATGTTATTTAATATTACACTAAATCTTGAAATCTTAAGGATGGTTGAATGCATACTTTACCAAATTAAGTAAATAAATAAGTAAATTAGGTGTAATAATAAAATAATGATTATACAAAAAAAAAGTGATTAAATTCTGTTGCATGTTCCTCAAGATTTTTTCTCATGGTGACTCTGGTTTGCGTGCCAGTTATGTTTTACCTGTTGGGCCATGTAGCCGTGTATTCAATTTTTGAAATAAGTGTGCATAAATACAAAAAATCGTGAAATGGAACAGCGCTGCCATAATATTTCAATACTCTCAAAGTTTTAGGACTTTTTATTTAGTTTACATTTGTGGTAAATTGTGGTTTTAATTTTTTTTAAATGTATTATTTGGAATTTGCCTTCTCACTAGCAAAGAAAAAAATTACTACACTCATTGAGGCACGAAAATTAGCGCGTGATCAGTACACTTTCTGTCCATGGTCGAAATGCTCGTCATAAATTGAGTTTCTTTTCACAATCTCGATCGCGTTTACGACGCAAAATTTTAGCGCGTGCGTGGAAACTACATACGAAAAGGCCAAATGCGTCTATGACAGGAGTGTTAGGTGTGCGGGAAGTTCCAAAAGCCTCCCTGATAACCTCGGAGGATGGGCGAGGGGGAAACACCCTTAAGTTTCGGGAATTGAGCAAATTTCTCCAAATGATAATAGGCGCTCTTTCCTATGCCAAAGGATGATAATATAGATGATAAAGACAATTATAATGATATTAATAATATTAATGTTGATATTGTAAATGTATATATAAAATAATCATAAAGATTGACTCCCTAATGCAAATTTTCTGCAGTAACTAAGCCGTTGTCATTGCAGTATACGGTATGAGGGACATTTTACGAATTTAAAAGATGTTCAAAGTGGTGTGTGCTAATCTTATTCCCTTTTTTCTCATCATCAAAATGTATTGTGCTGACATACACATCAGATCTGTCAATAATGAGACAAATCAATGTCGTTCGCTGAAGAGGAATCTTACCACAAATTTCATAACACCCATTATGTTTGTCGGTAACACTAATCTCTTTCATTAAAATATTGAAATGGTCTACGGCATTTAGAAATATTCCTAAACATTTTACTACTGCATCTTTGACGTACAGAGTTTCACAGACCGAATTTCGAGTTATTACATTTATAGTAATATCTTGATCTTTATTTATTAAAAAAGAAAGCATGGAATTTGGTATGCTAAATGTAACGGTTGATTTAGCAGGTGAAATACGAGTTTCCTCTCTACGCAGCCTGTCTACCACGTTGCTAGGCAACAATGGGGCTGGTCTACGGTTTAGATTGTATTCCAAAAAACCCGTATTTGTCTGAACCTCAACGTCAATACCCTTTTTACCACATGCATCAAGTATTACTTTCTCTAGATTTTCAGAAGCAGCAGAACTTGACATTAGTGCCAGAGTTTGATTTGGACTTTTGGTCAGGTTGTACGTAATTTCACGTACAGTGGATAGTTTAGCCCTGGTCAGTTCCATCTCACTGGATCGAGTTTCCAGTGTCTTCAGATTTTGTTTGTGAGATTCTTCGAGATTCTGAAGTTGCTCTTCCTTTTGACGATCGATCAATTGATGTTGTTCGTATGCTTGTTTTACGATGTCTGCTCTACAATTTGTGTAATTTGAATTCATCTCAGACCCCTTTTCAATCAGTTCCTTAAGCATTTTGTCCAAACCCAGACATTTCTTATCTGATACTTCGATGAGCTGTGATGCATACCTTGTGAAGGCGCTAAACGCAACCTTTATGTTAATTACGTTATGGGATTCTCCTTTAGGATGTTGAACCTGTATACATCCGACACATATTGGTATCTTGTCTGTTTCACAGAAGAACTGCAGTGGCATTTTATGTTCGGAACAATTTAGTTGTTTTGATGCAAATTGTTCCACAGGATCACAACTGTTGTATTCTTTTATGGTAATTATAGAATGATCTTTTGCAATCTTCATTCTGCAGTGAGTATCTTTACAATCTTGACAGTACAGTTCATCGCAGTCTTGACACACGAATGCTGCCTCCTTCTTACAACCACAGGTGGGATTCGATTTATCCTCCAAATTTGTCACATAATCCAACAATCCGATGATAAAACTGCTGTTCCTTAGATCTTGAAGACCACCGGTTGGAACTTGACAAACCTCACGACATATTGGACAGCTAAAACGTCTCCCGTTGCTTTCTTTCACCCACTTCTCAAGACATCCAAGACAGAACGAATGAATACACGGGAGTGATTTCGGGTTTGTAAAACGTTCCATACACAAGGAACATTCAAGTGCTGCAGCTTCAATACCATCGATCACCTCTTTGGTAACGTTTGGAGACGCCATGACAAGGAACTCGTCTGCAAGCTAAATCCAATTAAAGAATATAAAGGAGTTTAAACAAACTTAATTTATCCGCATTGTGCTATTAATTATCTTCTTTTCCAGGAACAAAATGTAAATATTTTAAGTTTTAAGTTTTAAGTTTATTCTGTTAAATATGTTATAAAATACAAAGCAATCTACGAACATACTCCACGCCCTAATTTCACTACGGTAGGACTAAAC